CTGAAAAATTACCAAGATAACCACTAGCCATTCGAACTCACACTTCATGAATGCAGGTTACGCAAAAGTTGGGGTTGCTACACAGATGGATATTCTCTCAAAATTTTAGGAAGCACGGATGTTACATGTTGTCACCCGATTATCATTGAATCCAGTCACATGATCATTTTTTCCTGGATTCCTGAATTATCAGATCAATTGAAAAAACATGCTGAACATGACAAGGGATGGAAAGCAAATGCTTGAATCAAATACAATATGCTTGTATCGAAGAAATCGATGCACACCTGCATGAACTGCGGGACATTTTGCTGCATTTGCCCCATGAAGCCTGAGCCTGGTCCGCGACCCATTCCAACTCCTGGACCGCCATGCATCATTTGATTCCCAACACCCATGTCGTATGGACTTCCGCCGCCAAAACTTCCTCCAGCTCCGTGGTGTCCGTGGTGATGATCATCCATCCGTACGGCACCGGATAGACTTGAGAAGACCATCCACCGGGTCCCGCTCCTCCTGTTTGCATTCCCATTCCAACACCAGATGGATCCATCCCAACAGAATCATTGCGGTGATGTGAGCCGTACCCATGGCCCATGTCCTGCATCTCATCCATGTTTCTTCCTCCACCCATCACGCCCGATTCATCCTGTAAATCAAAATTTAATGAAGCGAAGTCATGGGATGTTCAAGAATACCGGGTGGAAAAACGAGATCTCACCTTGTAGAACTGCTGTTTCCATACATCTTTGAACATGGGTTTCACCTGCTGCTGAAAAATTGGAGGATTTATTTCAACGCAGTCGAAAAATTGACAGGTCATGAACAAATCTACGGCATTTCCTTCCCGACACCAACTGTCATCTGATGCAACATCAGCATACCATGCATGTGTAATCACGCAACCCGATTCCCATGCATGAATTGATATGAAAACAGAAACCGCGGATATTTTACACTTGCTACCGAAGGGGCGAAATATATCCGACGTATTCACCGGAAACACTTAGGATGCGTTCCCAAATCTTTAAATTGGCCCAATACTTACACCAACGCAAGATTCTGAGTTTCACAAAACTATCAGTAGAATATAACCGTGTCAACGATGACACTAGAAAGACTAGGCATGAGAAGCACCAAGTCATCATGAGATTAGCACGACATAGTGTCTGAGAGGCGTCCTTCGCGGGTAATTCTTGTTGTCCCTCGCACGAATTGGTAACTCGTCTTTCTACAAACTTCGACTTATGCATAAATCGTACGAACATTACTGTATAATTTACCTTGCTCATCATTTGTCGACGTTGAACATCTGACGCCCACGACCCAGACGTACTCCAGTTACCTGACTCCTGGACTGGAGCAGAGCCATCAAGCGGCCATCCTCCGGTAGACTGCTGACCGCCAGCCCAACCATTTGACGGGCCAGGACCCAAACGCTACAACATGCAACGACCGCAACACCGCGAAAATTGAAAACTACTGTACATCTAACATGACGCGATTCCACGAAGATAGAACATCAAACTAGGCGAGAATATTTTGAAAACATCTACAGCGATGAAGATAGATTCGTGCGGTTCACGAAGACCTACTGCTTTAGTTGATCGAGATTAGTTGCATGCTTTTCAGAATTTAGAAGAAAAACTGACGTTGAACGACGTTTAGTGCAATAAATGACCCAAAATCCACAAATAAACTGACGTTGTTAACCAATCAAAGCACTAACCTGTTTGTGACCAGCCCAACCACCAGCAGACGAATCCATCATATCATTCGGATCCCCCCATCCGATTCCAGTAGGTTTTGGTTTCTGTCCCCATCCACCAGCATTGGGTGGAGACGACGGAGGCATGCCCCATCCGGAAGTCCCAGAAGCGTCCGGAACAGAAGATCCTTCGTCACCCCACCCTCGGTGCCCTGGTGGTCGAGCACCTGGAGGCATACGCATCCCAGGACCACCAGACATTCCACGGGCCATCATGCTGTCCTTCTTTCGCATTCCTGGAACAGGCAAAACATGACGATTGAAATCCATTCGATTCCAATCAAAAGCACGGAGTCCCCGAAGAAATAATTCTTGAAGTGCAGAGAAAAACCAGAAACACGAACTGAGACAGCGAAACGATGAAACTGGGTTGATAAACGCGATGAAGAGAGCGCGGCAGCGAACGGAAGGAAAAGAGAAAACAGTGAAACGAAAACGCATAGGACGCGCCTCCAGGGCCACTTGGTTCGCCCCAAATCGCAGTACCGTCGTCGCCGCCCTTTCCTGGTGCAGCGTTTTCGTCTCCCCATCCAGACTTCGCTCCCCAGGAACTTCCAACTTGGACTCCAGGACCTCCGCTCGGTTTTCCAATACCACCGATTGGACCACCCGGAGCATTTCCCCAGCGATTCGTGCTTGATCCTCGGGGATCCCAGGACTGGCCGGAGTTCGCAGCTCCCGGATTAGCCCAATCAACACCGGCCTTATCTTTGTTCTGTTGCCACATGCCGGAACCCGCACCAGGTGCCCCACTCATTCCAGATCCCCACTGATTCGGCGGCGGCGTATTCCACGACTGACCAACATCTCCCGTATCATCCTCCGGGTCCCACTGCCCGCCGAATTCGTTGGCATTACCGTATCGACCCCAAGGCGGTTTCACCGAGCTTGATGGCATTTCAGGGACGCGATTGGGTCCCACCCCTCCATTACGAATGTTGGTTTCCCACAGCTCGGTACCAGCTGTGAAAGACAATATTTGAAGAAATGATATCTCCACCATTTAAAATCAAAACTTACTTGAATTGTGCGAAGGCTTCCAAGTAGAGGGATTTTCGCTGCCAGGACTTCGAGGAGGTGACGGGGGTACGATCCACTCAGAATCTTGATTCACATTGTTCTGCGAACAAAATATCCTTCTCATAAAATAGCCCGCATTGTCAAATAGAATATGGTTACAGCGCACTAATTTAGGGTTGTTTTCATAATCTTCGCAAAGATTTTAAAGGCAAGACGAAATACATACGTAGTACTAGAGAAGTTTCAATATACGGAGATACGAATCTAGTTTCACTTCCGTGAGGTAACATCGATACAAAAATAGTCGCATTACTTTGGAGCATTCAAGTAAGACGCGAGAATACTCACACCACCCCATCCATCAGTAGCATACAGGGCTTCACGGATTTTCTCCAACTCTCGCTTTTGCTGTTGAGAATCTCCAGTACCGGAAGTGACCGACGCGCCACTTCCATTTGGAGCAGATGCGCTATTCGCCGCCGCGCCTGAACCTCCACTGCCTCCAACAGCATTGGCATTACCCAAACCAGGAGCATTCACGGAACTTGAGCTACCACCTGGATTACTATTCGTCGAACTGCCGGGACTGTTGGGGTTACCTTGAGCACTATTCGGGAGGCCTTTACCGGCTGCTTGCGCCCAAGACGTGGAACTTCCATTCCCAGGAGCAGCAATACCGGAACCACCCGCGCTGCCAGAAGAGTTCACACTATTCTCCCCGTATGATGTGTCTGAAAAACATCAATAAATCATAGGGTATTCTACTGATGATGACCGCTGTCACGCTTACCGTTCGGTTGCTGACCCCAAGAAGAACCCGGATTTCCCGATTGCGCTTGGCCAGGAGGACCAGCACTGGGAGGCGGCTGATTCCATGCCGGAGGATTACCAACAGCAGTCGAGCCGCCTGATCCGCCGGAATTTCCCCATCCACCGCCGTTCGAATTAGTTTCAGCAGCCGCACCAGCACCACCTCGGAGTCGAAGAGATCGATGAATACCCCAGCTGTCCAGACTTGCGGGTCCATCAGGATACGAATCACTTTCCCGACTTTCGCAGTGAGCGCCGAGTTTGGCAACAGCATTGGCAATCTGCTCAGTTGCGTGCTTGTTGCTATTATCACAGTTGAAGTCGAAGTCGTGCTTTCCAATTTCGAGTAACAGACGCGTGTCTTCCATGATCATTTCCTGCTGATTCACACCCTCCTCATCGGTGCTGATATCACTAATGTATTCGCCGATGGATACGCGAACGTGAGATAGATTTTCATCACTGGAAACTTCTTCCAAGGTCTGATAATACGAAGCTTGGCCTGAGCCGGGCGGAATGCCGCTAGGATTTGTGGAAGCGCTCCAATCACTGCCGGTCATCTCAGGACCCATCTAAATGGTTTCCCACATCAGATGATTGCACCGGACTTCAAAAATGAATTCAAAATACCTCAACGATGGGGTTCTTCGTACTGGCCGAGAGAAACGACGAATCGTTCTCTGAGTCCGCCGCCAAGCCGATGCCTTCACGAAGCATGGAGACGGAGGATATCACAGGTAATCCGAGTTTTCTTGTAGCGTCCAGAACAGACGCGGAATCGCCACTGGAATCACCTTCCATAAATAGCGTGCGCACACAATCACTTCAAAAGTACGCAATCCTGAAAGATGGCACAGTAGTAGACCGTGGAAACACGTCAAGGAAGGTTCCATGAAACAGGTAAATAACAATTCAAATGAGCTAGCAGTGCCTTTCACCAAGTGTAAGTGAATTGTAACGGACTTGCTCCGGAAACTCAAAATTCATCAGAAGCATTCCAGCTAATTCGAATAAAGAACTTCTTTCGTCCACACACGGCAGTGGCGCAAGCGGCATCCGCAGTATGCGCAGTGATCTGATGAAGGACGCCATCTCTGAACACTACTTTGTCGTGAATTAAGCGTCGAATAGGCTAACAAAATACTTCTCGACGTACTGTACTGTACATCCCTTGTTTACCTCGCTGAGCATCGACGCCTGTCTGTACGAAATATAGGTGTCACTCCTAACGATTCTCGTTAAAACTCCTCTCTTCGCGGCACGTTCGGATGAATCTACTCTGGACAACTTCCCATTTTGAACAGACGCCTACAGGGCAAGTCGTTCCCAACGTTATTGGAAGTACTTTACTCGTTCACAGCCTCCTCTTTAACTTCGACGTTATAAGGATTGAAGCTGTGAATTCATCCTTCCACAAAATATTTTATTACATCAGCTGTAGGACGAAAAAGGATAACAACACACGTCAACATTCCAAAAACATCGTCATCACAATGGTTCACGTACACGTTCAATGGAGCCCAGCATATCCAAAGCAAAACATAGTTGGCACGTAACTGATGTTGTTGGCACAAATTATTGAAGACAATTGCTAAGCAACATCCATCAGAAAAGGAGTACTAAGCGACGCACAATAGATAATGGTCCACGCAAACCTTCTTGTGGACCTTCTTTTACATTAGGTCTGCTCCCCGTTTCCCGCGACAGAAAGGCAATACTCACCGACTCTTGCTCACCCTTCTTAAATCTCGAAAAGAAATCCAAAGATTCTTTGAATAAGGTCAATAAGGAAAGACTGATTCAGAGGAAGAAATACTGATGAGTGATAACCTCGAGAAATCGCCGATTCAGCATGGGAATAACTTCAGATAAAAGGCTGCCTGATAACTTCAAAGCAGCAACCACGATTTTTTAAGCTTTTAAGTTTCTTGAAAATTCAGAACAAAAAGCAACAGCTCTCTCCATTCTTGGAGGAAAGAAAGCCCTCGCCGACCTTTCACGATCACCGAACCTGCTTCAAATGCTTATGGAATTCGGCACTCCGTCAGGATCCAAACAATCGTAGGTAAGCTTGCGGGTTTTATGTTTGAAAAGATTTGAAAGCCTCGCAAGCTCAGATCGAAATCTAAATCAAAACGAAGTTTCATGAAGCTACGAATTCAAGCTGGAAAAACGATTCTATATGACTCACTTGTCGACGATTGCAGTGTATTTTGGATCATACAAGTATTGCACCTCAAAATCGCCCAATTTATTCGTGCCTCTTCGAGAAAGCAGGCGAGTAATTGTCATAACATCAAGGGTGATTGTCTTCGACGGAATAAGCGCCAATATTTCTTCTTCCGTTTTGGGTCTCTAGAAGGTGCAACACATATCGCGAGTTAAAAAGCTTCCCACACCAACGGCAAAAAAGGAGGCGGAGACGGAATCTTCATACACAGGACTTGCTGAAATTTTAGTCAGAATGTCTGGATACTGTATATATAAATAAAGTACTCGCCTTGTCTTCGGGAGGTTCTCCCCGCAACATGGCGGGATACGCTGGAGGATACGAGTATGCATCGTACTGCATAAAATTCGCCGCAGCATGTCCAATACTGCATACGGAAATGATGATTGTTACAGTTTCAATAACTTCTTCCACGGTTCGGAAGCCCTCCAAATCGTCCCCGGGAACATTTTTCAACCCTAAGCCGCCGCATCCGGTGGCTCCATTCGATATTTTCGGTCTTGTCATTTCCAAACGCCAATTTCTCAATTCCTGGTCCTTCAACAGATCGTCTTCTTCGGCTGCGAAAAAGAAAGTGAAAGATCACTGTCCTGAAAAATTCGTCGACCGGCTTAAAATAATTTTGAAAGAAGCTTTCAGTCTTCTCATACAGCACTTCGAAAATGGCAAGAAGTAAAAAAAAATTTACCATAGATCAGCCGAACAACTTCATCCACATACGCTCTGATGGCACGAAAAATATCCAACGCGTCATCCCTATACGGATAATACTTCAAAACATCGGGAGTCGTGCCGTTGTTTCTGATGAGATTATCCACGTTCCCTTGTTCAACGAAGTCCCACTGCTCGCATCTGCATTTTGAAACCAAGAAAACAATTTTCATCCCAAAAAACCCATCAATGGAGATTTGACAAACCCCTTAGATATTAGTTCGTAAGTCCCCTTGACTCCAATCGCCATGGTCTTATCAATCCATCCTCCGGGCGCAATCAGCAAATCCAGGCCCCTCCTGCGAAGCACACAATCACGGTTCGAACGGATGCTATCGAGAACTTTTCGAAATTCAAGCGTTAACTCACGCATTGATAGCAAGCAAGTATAGGAAGTGCGGAGCAAGCAGTTTAAACAACGGGTGAGACGGTGAGAGGTTCCTATGAGTGCACACACACACGCCTTCCATGATCAAGTGTGTCAACCCTATACAATAAGTACATCGAGAAAGTGCAAGAGAAGAACATATCCCTTCAAATATACACACGGGACGGAAAAATACTTCATGTTTGTCGACTGTTATCTTCGAGAACTGTAGTACATCGACAATAATCTCAGGCGATTTTTCTGTCACAAAGCTCATTTTCGATGCGCCATGATAGTACAATATCTTGTTGTCGGATGAACCGTTTCCGTAAAAAACCGACAAACCCGAAAAAAACATAAGAGCTGTAGTTTTCTTTCTGGTAAGCGACTTAGAAGGCTTACCTTCTTTTAAAAATCAAAATAGACCTAAATTTAATAAGCCGAATGAAGCGCACCTAACCTGATCTTGTTCTACCTAAGGGTAAACTTTACATTTGAATGTCTTCCCGTAAATGACTCAATTGGATGAGCCGAATCGTTGCTTTCAATATTTTTTCTAGAAGATGCACACGCAAGACAATAGATTCCATGTTACTCACCCAAGTGTGAACACGCTTGATGATGTGATGCGTCAGCATTATTGCACCACATTTTGACGATTTGCCACAAATGCGGATCATCGTCCGGAGTGAAAACCTAGTCATGCATTTTCAAAATTTAATGCTACTACGGTACATCATAATATGTTTTATAATTGAGAAAAAGAATGAATACAAACCGGGGAATCGTCCTTCCGCTGCAACTGGATCGCTACTGGCATCGGAACATCGTCTTTTACAAAGAATAACGCAAACGGAATGCAGAGCTGTAAAAAAAATTAATAAAAAAATGTGACACTGATGCAATTCAAATCTGAAATAACTTCAAGTATACTCACTGTCGTGCCTTCTTGCGTGGGTATTCCTTCCAAAATTTTATAATCAATAATGAACAGTTTCTTATCAGCGATTGCTTGCTGAATTGTCAAGCCGTCTATCAGGTGCTGAACCAGGACGTCAGTTACGTGGAACCTTGCGGGGAAATCCCACCATTTTCTGTTACCAAAACGCACAATCCGTTTTAATTCCTTTGTTACTCACCCCTGCGGAATTTCTCGACACAATTTTATTACAGACGGATTCACTCCTTGGATTCTGGTCAGACCAAAATACCAGTCTTCTTTCCAGTACTTTATTGACTGCAGAATAAGAAGCACAGTTGAAATAATTCTTATAGCTGAACGAATTACACATGAAGAGAACTTACATACTCCGGAGGAGGTAGCTTGGAGGAGACATTGAACACTTTTTCTATGTCATCAAGCGATTTCCAATTAGAAGCTATGAATTTAATCCATTTGCTGGTCTTCAGCAATTTCAGCCTGTCCTGAATAAATTCCAACTGAAAACAACAAAAAACATTACTTTCCCCGCGAGGCAGATTCCAAATAAATTTTGTTTGAAGACTCACAAAAAAGTCTGGCGCAAACTTCTCGTTGTACGGTAGTTCACTGACCTACAGCAGAAGTTCAATGCATGCGATGATCGAATATACAATACTTTTTTAATAATAAACGCAAACCTGAATCGGTCCGTTTGGATGAACTTTGATAGCGTAAAGATATTCTTTCCGCCTTTCTTCGAGTTCCTTCGCGCGACCTTCAGGGTCATGTGAATACATTGGCAGTGCCGAATCGTATTCTCGCAAGATATACTTGTGGTGGGGTCGAATCCATCGCCAAACAGGAAAGACAGTGGGTTCATGGTTGCTGTTCACGTGTTCAACCTTCCAAAGAGTTGATCGCGTCAAATGGAAATGTATACCTCGCAACGCATCGACATGAAGAATTCCAACAACAAAAACATTCCAACCAACTGACCGGCAAAATCGATAGAATAGAATCATCCCCTTAAATCGCAAATACAATAAGTGACGACTGATGTCCGCGCACAAATAAAAATGATTTTTGTCACTTTCAATAATTACATGATTATTATTCAAACTTTATCTTCTTCGAATAATTTTTCGCCTTTTCCCCAGGAAATCGAACGAATTTCGCAATTTCTTGATTAAAAATGGAAGCCGTTCACAAATAACAATTTTAAAAAGCAGTTTGTGCAGCATTACAAATATTAAAAGAAGTAGGACTAATACTGCATAAAAAGAAACTTTAAAACGGCAGAAGATCCAAAATGAAAAAATTTACCGAGTTGAAAAGCTCGCAAATGTTAAAATCAGAAGATTGATTTGTGCATTGAATATAAATCCAGTCTCGTTCAATTCAAAATGGCTTCGGAATTTGAATTTTTAGTTTTGAATAATGTACAATGTTTTATATATAGAATATCTGGGCAGTAGTTACAGCTATTGTTCCAATGCTTCAAAAGAATTTCAAAGATACTGATGATTTGGAAATCCCTTGGACATTCAGCTGATATGAAGAAGCCTACGCAACTGAAATACACCCGGCCACAATTACCTTTTTTTTCCTTTTCGGGCACACATTTTCATTCAATAAGTTTAATCGATAAAAGAATTTCAATCGATAAATGGGGAAGAAGTTTACCAATATGTGATCCAGAAACCAGCTGTCAGCAACTCCTTTGGAATCTCGGAAGACATGCAACGTATGCGCTCGTCCCATGCCAGCAGCAGGTTTCAAGTTATACCAATATTCTTTCCCCATTTCGTGATCATTCACGAACCGATGATCTAATTTCTCTTTGCCGGTCTTTCGACCCTCTGCGTCTTCCACCTCCAAGTAAACATTGGAGTCAGTGCCGGCTCCAAGTTTATTCCCGGTTTTCACTTTCACCTGTAGAAGGGACGGGTGCTATGAGGCATGACTCAACTATTGTATTGGTTATAGTCATGAGTAATCGTGATTTATCAACATTTGTTATAAGTAACAAGAGCACAGTTGATTGGGATACCAATGTACTGTATAATATATTACTGCACCGTGTTCCCGCAAATTGAAGGCCTATAGTCGTCAAATGTTAGGCACGCAGAGATTTCTCCAACACTTGAATATACAATAGAATACTTGTACCTTGATTTATTTGCCCCAAATATCTTTCTTCAGCATATCCATAACGAAATACTTCGCACATCCAAAAAAGAAAACGGAAATCTCATTGTGGTCGTAAAATTTATTTGATCTTATCCTCCAAATAAGTTAGAACTCTCTTCTTTGAAGAAAAAGAGATGTCTTGTTCAGGCTGAGTTACGATACTTATGTGCTCAGTTGTGTTGACGAGATTTACATCATGGCAATGGTGGTGCACTGGAAAACATGCAAATAAGGACTACATAGGAAACTTCGACATAAAACTGGGCTTTCAAATCGATGTAAACAATTTGAAAAACTGTTCGCTGACACAGAATGCTAATTACCTTATACGTATACATGGTATGAACAATCCTGAGCGTCAATCAAGCTTATCCTGTACCAATTTGGCTTTTCCTTCTTGATTTTCTTTCTTTTTTAAAGAGAGTACGGTACTGTACCATTTTGCATTTTTCCTTTTTTCGATTTTTTTTAAAGGAAGTACACACGGGTTTAGAAATAAATTGTATGGCTTACCTTGTAATAAAACTCCGTCGAAGACGACAAGACGTCCATTTGCAATAAACCTCGAAATGCCTTTTTAGAAATCGACACTACTTTCTCGGGAAGAGAGAGTTTTCGAGAAGGCGACGCTCTGGGCGCATCGCTGCTACTGCAGCTGGAGTCCGACGACTTCCTCCCACCTTTCTTGCTTTCGCTCATGCCTGTCCCACGTTTTTTGTGTATGTGTGTGTGTGTGTCCCACTTACTCACTACGCGTGCTCAGCACTGTGCCACAGGCCACTTGTACAGTACGTCAGCATTCAAACGCGATCACCGGGCCTGGCATATACAGAGACATGGAGGAATAAGAACAGTTGAGAGACACAGGCTCCGATGTTATTCTTATTGGGACAGGGCATACAGTATAGAGTACAGTAGACGAAGGCCGGTTGTTTTCTTCACTGCCCGAGTCGGAATTCACAGGAATTGGGGTCATGTAATGCTTGGGATTGCGGCTATAGGTGGACTCTCATCTCTCTACGAAGAAATGCAAGGGAACAGAGAAGAATTCGCTGTAGAGAAACCTTGGGGCAGTGTTCCCCAAGCTCGTGGTCCGCGGACCGGCGACGGTCCGCAGAAGATTTTTGCCGATCCGCGGGAAAATTTTGTCAGGATGCTAAATATATAGAAGGTAGTAATGAAGTGTGTTATCGTTATCCAACATTTCGGAAAGACAAATGCAGTTCAAACTATCTTAAATCGAATGAAAGTGAGCTCTCCTCTTAATAACACTTCAGACATTTTTCCCCCCTGCAAATATATAATTTCAAGTTTTCAACCTGAGAAGCTTTTCTTGAAGCCCAGCTTTCTATTTCTTTGAATAAATTCCTTGGTATTGCTGCTTCCTTGGTTCTCGCCTTAATTTTTGTAATACGAGTTTTGTTCTGAGGACTTCATGGTAGATGTTTAAAAAAATTTCCGTCGGTCTTCAAAAATTGCTAGAGTATGAAGTTAGAACAATATGGGATCAACAACAAAAAATCTGTTTACTGTACACAGAATATCGTTGTAGAGAGATTCCACCTGTAAAACATTGTGACTAATCTCCATTTCATTTTTTAAAATTTATTTTTCATTCATCGTCTGATGAACGTGGGATGGATTTCCCGCGTGAGACGCGCGCCATAATTTTCAAAATAAACTCTCGAGAGAAGTTTAAGACTTTTAGTGGATCTACACATGGAACCCGGTACAGTATTGGTGCATGACACACACATGATCTTTTTTTTTCACTCGCAAAGCTTCAGGAAAAAAGTGCGCGTGGTACAGGAATGAATTCTAATCGGGCGCGAACTGATGGAAGTCGCACACAGTACATCAGTACTTAAGACTGACAGTCGCATAGACCATAGAGTACTTGAAGTTTATTGAGGAATTCGTGTGCAGTACGCGTGATCAAATTAGAAAAATCGATTATTTATGAAAATGATCGGGTAGCGTATCCCAGAAAAATCGTGCAAAACGAATAATAAAAAATCATAGGAAATGAAAACCGTCTTCAATCATGACCTGAGGTAACCCCGTATCCCTACTGTATTACAGTACTACTATTCCCGCTAATATTCCAGAGCACGCCGTTTCTCAGATGTCACATAAACTTTTCTGTTACGTTTCGTTTGTTTCTCACGACTTCACGAGATACTTTTCTAGAAGGATGATGACATTTTTGAAATTTTTTATGCTGATCACGTTCATTTTAATTTTAAAAATTCATTTCAACGACGAATTTTGCCCTCCTGGGGGAAATAAAAGGGCTTCAATAAGAACGACATATTTTACAGCATATTGAATACACTGTACAGTATCTTCATTTTATCAGCGATCAAACGGACTCAAGGAATTTTCACGCACGGTTAATTGAGTTTCTGTTGTACAGGTGTAATGTGTACAGTACTTCTTCATAGTTAGCCTTAGTTTGAAAATATGAATGCAACGCACCATCTTGAAGCATACGCGACCGTAAGTTCACGTTGTTATTGCCAAAAAAAAGGAAAATTTGATTCACCGTTTAAAAGAGCAGGAATTTATGTTTCACGCATTAATTTTTCATAATCCATTGAAAAAAGAACCCGACACAGCCTCGAAGATGTATGAATAAAACTCTCTCTGTCTCTTCAAAATTAAAATGCACAAAGGTACTAAAAAACAGATGTCAGCAAAAAACGGTGAGTATATTCGTGTACGAAGTGCGAATTCTTTTTAAACGTTTGACAAGAAATAATAATATGCGTATCATTTACGAAAGCAAGGTTTAATACCGTTATATACCTTCACAAAATCGTGACATATTTTTATTCACCAAAATTAAAAAGTTTCTCACATTAGATGTAAAATTCTCCATTAGTTAGAGCGTGCATGCATGAAAATGCTGAATACGGCAATAAGCTTGAAAGCATTGCGGACCAAAATCTTCATAAACATAAATTTCCTTCATTATATGTGTTAAAAACAAATGTTTACAACTCTGAGAATGTTTGCATGTACTGCACCAAGATTTGGAAAGAAAAGGCCCACGGATGACAATTTCATCCGCTCGCATGACTTGATCCGAATAAATGATTTCCATGCTTCTTGAGTATTTTCATGGTCCGTATCTTTGAGAATAACCGATTCACGAACACTTTTCAAAACTATTCAAGAGCAGATTTAATTCCTCGCATCGGAAGAAATTACTGTAGGCCGAAATCGGAAGAAATTTCCGAGTAGCCGTACAAGATTCTTTATCTGTTTGCTTAAGATAGTCCTTAGCGAAATGAGAAGCTGCCGAAATATTCCTTTTATTTGCCTTGAAATACAACATTGCACACTATTGTTCCTTAGGATAATATAAAAATGTTCGAGAGAAAAATAAATCTGTACACAGTAATTATCTTTACACGCGTGTTTCTATGGGGATTTCCCTGATTCAAGGTGACACCAGCAAACCAAGGGATATTTTCTTTTAACAATCAGCCTTCATGACCCTTTTCGTTGACAATATTGTACGAATACTGTATCACAGTGCACATTTTCAATGATATTAAATGCGAAGTTTGTCGGATTTTCGCGCACGGTCGTATACAGTATTTACAAATTTTCACACCGCATTTACTTAACTGTTCGCATGATCAGATAAACACAAAGGATTACTTAATTTCCTGTCATACACATTTGAATTTTCAATCCACCAATTTTCTTCCCATATTGATCGAAAAAGAAGAACCATGCAATACATCACTCAGTTTCACGCCCATTTAATCTTAATTGAGTACTGTGTGGGTACCGTAAACTAAAATTTTGAATTAAGGTGTCCGCATAACAGGAAATCGGACGTCCTTTGGAAGTTTGGAATATAGTACGTGGTCATTCCCTGGTATTTTTTCAACAGCAATATAAGATTAATGATTCCACGGTTTCGTGTTTTGAATGGGCTGCTGGAAAACATTTAATCACCCTCACGCCGTCCAATCTCAGCCGACGAGAATTATAACGGAAGTCAGAGAAACACATGATGGTCATATTCAGAATGGTTGTAATAGGGTACACGGTCATTTAAAAATTACCGATGATAGTACGGTACAAATCTTCAAACGTAATTCTTGAGCATTCCACGGAACAATAAATAAACCGTCCAGAAAAACAACAAATCCAGAAAAAAACAGGCATTGGAAGAAAAAGTGAAAGAACCTTTTAAAAACGTATGTACAGTACTGTACTTACGCGGCAAAACATTTTGGTCATTGCAGAGGACGAATGTATTTTTCATCACTTTTAGAGCAACACTGGGATTCTTTCGCCATGAATTTCATCAATCGCCGTCATGTTGTTTCTTCCAGGAAATGATTACAAGGCGAAAGTCATTAAGTCAACGACCTCTTCGGCATTTCACAACCATTTGTGAATCAGATCCCGCCAGTGCCAGAGAGGGTAAACGGGCGAGATCTTTCAAAAATCAAAAACGAAAACGCAATTATTCATAATAGCTTACACTTGAGTCACTAGCATTCTCCATCCGGTGAAAGTTTTCCAAACAACATTCTCAAGATTCTTGATAAACTTGCTCTCGGTTAATAGCTTTGGCCAGCGGCCAATACACAAGATCCAGTGCTTCGAACGAAGCGGAAACGAAAGTACGATTAAAAAATGGAATCAAGCCACAAATACCATGCCACGAAGATATTACACCACTTATCCTAGTCATATTTAGAATCGTCCGACCTTCTCTCGAAAGACCAACAGGAATACAGCATCTTGAAGAATATCCACGCAGCAGCAAATATATTATTTCCGAACAAAAACACGCCAACTTTGTTCCGCGGTTTTCCAACTCGCTTGAGGATCGTAACTCTTTCAACCGGTATTTGTGTACCACCAAGTACCAATGGGTGACTTAAATTCGATATCACACACAACATATTGTACACTTAATGTATAACTACGCTGGAGAAATGCAATTCGCCATCTCTCATTGCTCTGCTTGTCAGTTCCCTCATACAGTCATACTCAAGCTACTTTCGTCGTTTTCTTATGTTTTCTGAGCTCAATTTCATAAGAATGGCTTCACGTCGTATTTTGCCGACGATCATGGTAAATTCTGAAGAAACGAATAACTCATGAATTTTTCAATAAAATTTATCCATGAACGGAGGCTTTCATTTTTATAATGATTCGGTTTTGTAAACTTATTCGTGCTAATAAATTGTATCCTAATTGGCATACGTATTTTCACATAAAATGCAATCCCTTTGGAAATACATGAAGCGTCGGCTCAATTCAAAATACTGTGAAGCTCAACCTGCAGACAATTCAACATAGGGACACTTATATTCTCATGAGAAATTAATGAAAAAGGCCCAACATGAGGACACTGACTCAACATAGGGACATTTTGTTACACCACTTATCCTAGTCATATTTAGAATCGTCCGACCTTCTCTCGAAAGACCAACAGGAATACAGCATCTTGAAGAATATCCACGCAGCAGCAAATATATTATTTCCGAACAAAAACACGCCAACTTCGTTCCGCGGTTTTCCAACTCGCTTGAGGATCGTAACTCTTTCAACCGGTATTTGTGTACCACCAAGTACCAATGGGTGACTTAAATTCGATATTACACACAACATATTGTACACTTAATGTATAACTACGTTACAGAAATGCAATTCGCCATCTCTCATCGCTCTGCTTGTCAGTTCCCTCATACAGTCATACTCAAGCTACTTTCGTCGTTTTTTTATGTTTTCTGAGCTCAATTTCATAAGAATGGCTTCACGTCGTATTTTGCCGACAATCATGGTAAATTCTGAAGAAACGAA